AACTCTAATTGATCTAATTCTGACAAATAAAGAGGAAAATATTTCAAAGTCTGGTGTCATACACCTTGGACTTTCTGATCACAGTATGATTTTCGCTATTAGAAAACATTGTATTCCCAAATCACGGGAAAAGGTTAAACATATTCGTAACTTTAAAAATTTCAATGCCAATGATTTTCTTACGGATCTTTCACAGATGCCGTGGGAGAACATTGCCCAACATGACAATTCTAATGTATGCTGGCAGGTATGGAAATCACTATACCTCCAGGTCCTTGATCGACACGCTCCCCTTAGACGTATGAGAACTCGTGGAAATTCTCTCCCTTGGATTTCTTCAGACATCAAGGGTATAATGAGATCAAGAGACTTCCACAAAATAAAGGCGGTTAGACATAATTCTCAAAGTCATTGGACAAAATATAAGGAATTACGAAACAAAGTTAATGCTGAACTAATTAAAGCTAAAAGAAACTATTTCTGCAATAAAATAGAAGATTGTGCTCAGTCCAAAGACATAAAGCAAAGTTGGAATTTAATTAACCACCTCATGGGTAAAAATGTGAAATCAAACACGATATCCCAACTTAAAACGGATAATTCTGTCATTTCAGACGATAAATTGAAATCTGAGGCTTTTAATGATTTCTTTGTCAATATCGGGGCAAAACTTGCAGCTGAAATTGAAGATAATTCCCTCAACACAAATTCTTTTGCTCGCGGAGATTCTAGGCCTACTACCGACTCCAATCTTTTTTTCAAATTTTCTGAAATTAACGAGGACGAAGTAATATATCAATTGCGTAGTCTCAAAATTTCAAAATCCACAGGATTAGATAACATCCCTGCTAAAGCTCTTAAAATATCCGCGGACATTGTTGGTCCGCCATTAACTTGGATATTTAACCTTTCGATCAAAAAAGGAGAATATGTGGATGAATGGAAAAAAGCCTGGGTTACACCCATTTATAAATCTGATGACAGGTTGAAATGCGAGAATTATCGCCCTATCTCGATACTACCCATTGTTAGTAAAATACTTGAGAGATGCGTTTTTAATCAAATTTATAAATTTCTTAATGACAATTCACTTCTTTCAAAACATCAACATGGTTTTCGGCCTAAACATTCAACTCTCACCGCTCTAACTCAGGTGTGCGATACTCTTTATGAAAATATGGATAATGGTCAATTGAGCGGCATTGTTTTTCTTGACATTCGTAAAGCCTTCGACTCAATTGATCATAATATTCTGCTTCATAAATTAAAAGATCAATTCGGTATATCGGATATTGAGTTAAGATGGTTTGAGTCTTACTTAAATAATAGGGAGCAAGTCTGTATTGTTAATAATTCAATGTCATCGTCAAAACGGATTGTTTCTGGGGTTCCGCAGGGATCTATTTTAGGTCCACTGTTATTTTTACTCTATATCAATAACCTCCCCGAATGCCTACAAAAAACTACTCCTTATTTATATGCTGACGATACCCAAATTTGCTGCAGCTCTAACAGTTTGATTGAATTAACCGAAAACCTTAATCACGATCTGAGTAGAATCGGTGATTGGCTTTCTAGAAATAAATTACAACACCACCCAACTAAGACCAAAATAATGTTCATTGGCTCTAAACATCATATTAATTCCACAACTTTTGATCATCCAGTGATGTTAAATAACCAACGCATCCCCAGAGTTCACTCTTTCACATGTCTTGGTCTCGATTTAGATGAAAATCTTAACTGGAATTCACATATTCAGGCGATTTGCAAAAAGGTTGGAGCAGGCCTGGGTACTTTGAGACGTATTAAACCCTTTGTTCCAATAACCACCCTTCAAACAATTTATCGAGCTCTGATTCAGCCGTATTTTGATTATTGTTCTCCCATTTGGGGCGTCTGTGATCAAAATTTGAAAAATAAACTCCAAAAATTTCAAAATCGCGCAGCCCGAATCATTGTCGGTGCAAGTTATGAGATTAGATCTGCTGATGTTCTTCAATCTCTTGCTTGGGACAATTTAGAGACAAGACGACGTACAACCAAAGCAACATTAATGTTTAAAGTCTTGAAGGATTACGTAGGACCTACGTTGAAAGAATCCTTGATAAGACGCAATCATATGCAAACAAATTATGATCTTAGAAATAGTCATACAGATTTGGCTCTTCCTAAGCCTAAAAGAGAATTCCTAAAAAAGAGTTTTAAATACAGTGGGGCTAAGCTATGGAATAGTCTCTCTATCGATACGAAACTGGCAGAATCAATGCACCTGTTCAAAAGCCATTTAAAACTTAACTCTAATACTATATATATTTGAAATATATTGTAACTCCGTCTAACCATAACATCTGGGGTCACACCAATTTGTAAATAGTCTTCTTTTCCCTTATATCTTTTGTAATTTTTAACATTGTAGACGCCCCCCGTGGAAACCAACGCACCGTTGACGGGGCTAGTGTCTTTAAATAAAGTTTTAATACAATACAAATAATACAAAAGTCCCTTCTTTGAAAGAAATGTTTGTTATTTCGCTGTCGTCATGCAGTCGTTACAATGCAAATTTTAAATTTGACCAATCAGTGTTCGTTATTCATGACAGTCCACTATATTTTGAAATCAGTGAGGATGACCACCCACCGAACGGTAAACGATAGCCATGCGCCCGCAATTATTGATAAACTTTAGACTTTGCTAATGCGTTTCTTTCCCCGGGTGTAAATAGCCAGGCGGAATTAGTTCCCTCGCCCCACGGAACGGCGCTCTGCGCCGATTAGGCTCGGGGATTAATAATAATAATAGTAATAATAGTTTGTTTAATAAAAACATCATCTGGCAGTCAGAAGACTGAATTACATGACGTTAAGTGTTACAAGGTTATAAATAGTAAAAAATTCTATATTACAATGCAATTTAAAAATTGTTAATATATACTATATATCATATACTTAAATGTACTAATCTATATGAGTTAAAAATTCTAAAATGTTCAAGGAACATCTAATTTGTAATGTTTCTTAGCATAAAAGTTGATAAAAGAGTTTCCGAAACGATTTGTATTTGCTGGTAAAACTTCAAAAGATCTTTCTTTTCGTAATTCTCTATTGCCTGCTTTGGATGGTAAAAGTTTGGCAAGTTTATGATCATCATTTAAAACAATGTCGTTGAAGAGATTATTGGATAGATACTCCCGTCTGTTTTCAAGAGTGGAAATACCAGCGATGTTAAGAGCCTCGTCGTAAGACAATTCATAGAATATTATTTTCATTGCTCGCTTCTGTATACGTTCAATGTTTTTTGCAAGATTTCGTGGCAGGGAACTATGGAATAATTGGCACGCATATTCGAGAACAGACTTTATACAGCTGCAAAAAAATTTGACCAAATCTGCCGAAGCGACATCAGCACGTTTTAGTTGCCTCAACAAATATAAACGTTTAGCTGCTTTGGAGACAATTGAATTTACATGGTCTATCCATTTAAGGTCATTTCTTAATATAACTCCAAGCGATTTGATACTTGTCACTCTTTCCAAATTTCGGTCACCAATACGTATAGGTTCAAAAACAGGTGGTAATCGTGAAAAAGATATTACCATTTCTTTGCATTTAAATGGGTTTAGTTGAAAGGAATTGTCCATAGACCAAGTAGTAATATCATCGATATCCATTTGTAAAGTACTTTGCTCGTTTTTTCAACAATTTCAGAGACCGTAGTATCGTCGGCAAATTTCCACATTTCTGAAAGGTGATTATGTAACACAAGGTCATTTATCATGGCTAAGAATAGCCAAGGCCCAAGTCGTGTGCCTTGAGGGACACCAGCTGGAACTTGGAGCCAGTCTGAGAAACAATTATCATTTAGTTTGACCCTTTGCCATCTATTACGTAAAAAGTCAATAATCCAGTTAACCACACAGGGCTTAATACCAAGGCTGAATAATTTCGCAACTAATGTGGTGTGATCTACCATGTCAAATGCTTTTTTATAGTCAAGAAATACAGTGCGAACAGATGAACCACTTCCATCTGTTGCACTCAACCAACAATGGAGCATCGATATCAAGGCAAGTACAGTGGAAGAATTTGGAATAAAGCCAAATTGTTGGGGATCAACAACCTTTAACAGAGTTGGTTTTACTTCTCTTTCGATTACAAGACGTTCCGCTATCTTTGATAGAGTGGAAGTTAAGGAAATAGGTCGTAATTCTCTTTCCAAGTCTTTGACAGTAGATGTTTTTGGTAAGGGGACCACATCGGCCAGCTTCCAAATTTGAGGGACTTTACAGCTTTGAAAGGAAGAATTGATTATATTTGCAACTGGTGAGGCGAGAATATCCGAATAGGTTTTTAAAACCCAATTGGAAATACCGTCAGGGCCACTGGAACGCGATGTATTAATTTCTTGCAATTTTCTAGCTATAGTTGACTCGGTCACAATAATAGGCGTTTCATCGTTGTGTACAATTACAGCCGTATCTTCAGATAATGGAACATAGTTCTGTATCACATTTATAAAACATTGTTAATTTTATTACTGAGGTTTATGTCTGTCTCCTGCCATAAATCTTGATGGAGGCGGTCTTTTACACTTTTGTTGTTTAGTTTAGATGTGCCACACAACTGCTTCACTTCCCGCCACCAATCTCGGGGGTTAGTGTTACGTAAATTATGAACTTTAGATTGATAATAGCTCTTACGACAACGTTTTTGTTCACGATTAACTTTATTATGTAACATTTTAAAAAGAGTGACATTACCAGATGCAAAGGCTTTTTGTCGACGATTTATCAGTGATTTCAGATTGCTATTAACCCATGGTCGATCATTAGGGTGGACTTTTATTGAACGTTCAGGCATAATTAAGTTCAAACCATAGTTTATAATGCTAGTTAAAAAGTATAGTTTTTGATTAATACACCCTCTGTTAATTCTATTTTGAGCCTGCATGACTTCAAATTATTTGCGTTTTAACATGTCGCGTCACTGATTATCTCACCTCATTGGGGTAAAATCCCGATTTTAAAATTGCATAAATATTACGAAAGAGTTTGCAATACAAATCGCCCAGCGCCCACTCGGACCACTCCTTAAACGGTGGCCATCTTGCTTGACACGACGGGATTCTCTGCCCAAGCACCCCCGCGCGCTCGCTCATCTTAGCCACTGATCAATGTACACAATGTACAGCAGCGACTGGCAATCAGTTTCTAGTTAATTAGCTTGCATATTCGCTTGATGCATGTGTAAATAAATTAAATATACTTATGTGATATAAGTCATATAAATGAGCTGTGAAAGACATTGTTCCAACGACAACCATCTATTATTTACATGGTACTTCATATTAACGCATGCACAGGCACGCAACAAGTGTCCATTATTAATTACTGCGTTATTTATTTTTATTTTTTAGGAGCTTCTTCTTTCTTTGTGAAACATCTGCAGACAGGAATGTGTATTAATGACACAAGAGTACTACAGACGAGCGAGTCTTGGGGAAACTTTTCTTTTGTGGAACTTTCCAACAACTGTCTGGATCCAGCTGCTCAGTCTCGGTTTGTTAATAATAGTGCCATGTTCAATTTGAAAAGAAAGGGATGTTTCGAGGGAACAAAGAGGAGTGGTACTGGTTATAAACTTCCTATGTTGTATATGCTCCTTCATACAGACCCTTCATATAATTGTCGTGACAAGGAACATGCTATAACCCAGACCTCTTGGGGAGGTTTATTTGTATATTATATACCCGATGGACGGACGCGGTGTGCAGTCCCTAAAACAGATGTTCAACTTGCTACAAATCCAGGAATAGATCCCTACATCGAATTAACGACAAATTGTAACGATACAGAGGATAAACGGTTTAATTTTGGTAAGTTATTTTTATTTGTATGCAGTTAATTTGTTTGATGTTTTTGCACATGAAAAGTTCTTATTTGTAGTTTTGCAGTCTGCATTTCATATAAACAATACTTATTAAATTTCTCACCCACCATTGTCGCTTCGCTAGCCTACATGCAGGCTATAGACATAAATCACATGAATTGAGACTTAGCTATATATAGTAAAAGGTTTATACCTTAATTCTTTATATATATATATATATATATATATATATATATATATATATATATATATATATATATATATATATATATATATATATATATATATATATATTTATATATATATACATGTATGAGAATAAATCAATTTCCTCGAGAACTGCTGACGCCTTAATTTTATCCAGAAGAGCAAAAACTGTATATGTTTTATGTCATCGATAAAAAAAAATATAGAACGTAGCGGTCCGAAGACAGACTGTTGAACTCGACCTATGATTAGATTTTCCTTATCAAGTAAATCACGAGCAAGACTCTATAGTTGTCCCAAATATTTCATAAAATGCTGAATTTCTATATAAAAATAACATGTCCAGCAATGGTGTTTTTGTATTTTGGATATATTGCTATGCCGTTATCTCTTGTCCTACTTGATATTGTCATTTAGTGTTCGTCATTTCTGAATCTTTGTTCTGTTCTAGGTTCAGTAACATGTCATGGAAGTACAGTAAAGAATGCCAACTGTCCTAAAGATCAGTACATGGTGGTCAAGACTGCATCTACGCGTGGATTGTCTGCCACAAAAACATGTAGTTTGAGTGACGATTATAGTTGTAAAGTTTATGTAACATGTCTTGTTAAGAAACAATGTGATGGTCAACATGAGTGTAATATAACTGTGAATGACAACTTGTTCTCTGGTGATCTATGTCCTGGATTGTCAAAATATCTTTACTTTGAATATCAATGTATTGATAAACAAGCAAATTACGTTTGTGGTACGTTTTATTGTTGTATCGTGTAGCAGGTCGATTACCATCAATGGAAACTCTAAGTCCATCACACTTAGTACATCATGTTCATATAATCGTGTGTGTTCTCCCATTCAATGTCCGGTTTATCTTAAGCTATCATCATATTAAGTCGCATTAACATTCGTTGGTCAACCGTGTATGAAAATTGAAATTTGTGGTTCTAGTAACTTAACAAGCATTAATTTTTCCAATGAAGACATGATAAAGAGTTCATAAGATGAATGATCTTCATAAGGTGAATTATAGTGAAGACATGATAAAGAGTTCATAAGATAAATTGTCTTTCATTTCCTTCTTTTTTATAGCTTTATTTCCAGATAAACCTACAAACCTCACGGTCACTAACATCAAGTCAAGAAGTGCTGAAATATCTTGGCTAGACCCATACAACGCTGGAGACAAAGTTCTTTCAAGATTCTTGATTAAAATGAAGAAAGAGAACTCTCTTTTCCTGAATACTACCACAAATAAAGTGAACAAATACAAATCAGATAATCTCACTCCATTCACTAAATATGAAATATCCGTGGCTGCTGGGAATCAAAATGGTTTCGGTGAAAAGACTATAACTTCGTTCGTAACATCTGAAGAAGGTGAAATAAAGTACATTAAAACGCAGACAATTCATAGGATTATTTGTGAATCTTCAGGGTGTGAAGCTTTCTTTCATTTTTTACAAAATCGGCAGTTGCTTTTGCACTTTGGTAGATAGGTTGATAGATTGTTCCTTATTTAATGGTACTAAACTCTAACAGAATATTTGTAATTATTACAGATTATGACCTTGATCGTCTATGTCATTTAAAAGAAAGATTAGTTTATGTCATTTAAGAAAGATTAGTCTTTTTAACTCTTCCTCAACATTTCTTAAACGTTTCTGTCTGCAAGCATTAGCCATGCAGTGTGGATGGTTCTGCTAGGCATGTACCGCATGTTGCCTATATGGAATTGGAACCATTCTTATCATGGAGAAGATTCAGCAGAATTGTACGTCATGCCAGTGGCGGCGCCAGGCTTCCAAATTTGGGGGGGGGGGGCATTTGAGGGGCAAACTCAAATTTTGGGGGGGCAAGATAGAATTCTTAAAAAGGTCGCCCCCCCCCAGGAAATTCGCCCCCCCCCCTCAAAACGTGGCGATATTCGTAGAAATATCGCCCCCGGGGGCGAATATCCTAGGAATATCGCCTCCCAGGGGGGTGGGGCGAATACCCTAGGAATATCGCCCCTCTTTAGGACATTCACCCCCCATATATGCGATGTGGTTTATTCAAATAATTTCGTGATACTTTCATCTTATTCAGTATTGCCTTACACGTTTGAGAATTTAACTCTGCAAAACTAAAGCTTTTTTGTCTTTTTTTGAAACGTATTATTGGAGTATTGGCAAGTTTTACCATTCAGAGATTTACAAACTAATATTGAAACTGTAAAAAACAGTTTCATGTATACGCGCATTCACTAATGAGTAATGACAACTTATAAGCCATACATTTTCCGATAACGACAGAACGCTTGTGTAGCCTTTAGTCGCTCTTAGTGACTAATAATTTTTTTTGAGGGGGGGCAAAATGGGGCAATAATTGTGGTACTTGCCTTGCCTCTGGCGCCACTGCGTCATGCATTATTACCAGCCAATCCCCCTCCCCATACACCTCTAACTAGTGTATTTTATTTTATAAGAAACAACTTACCATATTATCTCACTTGAATTTTAGCTCCAGAAGGTCCTCCACTGAATGTCACAGTGACAACAGAAAGCTCGTCATCATTATCTGTTACATGGGAACCTCCTGAAAAGGTCAAAAGAAATGGCATCATCGCCAGTTATACTGTGTGTATCTCACATGAAGAGAGTAAACCTTGCTTTAGGGAACATACTACGAAGAAAAAGATGATAGTCATCGACAATTTGATTGACTCAACCAAATATTATGTTCGTGTTCTTGCAAGTACCAACGTTGGTCCTGGACCTTATAGTGAGAGTAAAGGAAAATTTACCAATGGAAGTAAGTGTCGCCTTGCGTTAAGACGTAATAAATAAAAGAAAGGAATAACTTTAAGCAATATTTGTAAATCGGATACAGATTTCGTTCTGATTTATATAAACTTTAGCTTCGATTTTCTCGATTAGTTAGATGGATACAGATCGGTTTCTCATGCTTTGTATCTTATTAAATAATTCATGCGTCTACATATTTTCTTACAGAACCACCAGAGGTATCCACAAATGGAACAAAATATACACTGTCGACTTTCTCGTTGCAGATTCCTTCACGAAATTTCACGTAAGTCCAAAACCTTTGAAAAGCCACACAGAAATATTGCATCTTGCAGTGACGACCTGCACAGGACGTTAAGGCTGTTTTGTGAATTTACGCATTTTATCACGTAGAAATTTGTTTGTAGGTATTTCTACGTTGTGGCTTTGAAATCGAAAGACGGGAAGCAAGGTCAATCTCCAGAAAGTTATGGAAACAATGACTTAGTGACGTACGCTGAAGCAAGGACGTCAACCGACCCGAAACCTTATATCGCTGCAATAGTAACATCAAAGGATGAAAACATATTTATACTTGGTGATGGCAGAAATACAAGTTATCGAACATCACGAAGACGCAGATCAACCTTGAGTGATTATTATAATGGTCCGTTGGAGCCTGGTACTAGTTACATTATTTTTCAAAGGATTTTTATCAATGACAAGGTATGGTATTTGTCAAGAGACTTGGTATTTGTTTATTATCACACCTTAGAGGTTACGCTTTCCTTGCGAAATTTTTCGGGAAAAAAGAGTCTGACCTTAGCCAGGGTAACATACCTAAATTACCCAGACACCTAAAGCAGACGCAGAGCATAGTATAGAAACAAAATTTCGTCCACATAATTCGGAGAACAAGTGTTGACGTCACATGTGTATCTATAACTTGAAAGATATATTTTCTTTCACTTTTTTTACTTTAGGGCGATTATTACTCCACAGACTGGAGTTCTGCTTCAAAAACGAGCGAATATGCAGGTAAATACATGCAAACAATATTCGTAACCCCGCGAAGTGACTTGCTTTACCTATATTATACCTAAAAGGCATATGTTATATTACCGCCTTGGCGAACTTAAAATCTCGCAAAAAAAGCTCTACAGTATATTAAACAATACCCAATTCAAATCCGTAATAGATCGCTCTATTACTCAGTTTAACTCGGTAATAGAACGCTATTACTCATTTCAACTAGATAATAGAACGCTATTACTCAGTTTAACTAGGTAATAGAACGCTATTACTCAGTTTAACTAGGTAATAGAACGCTATTACTCATTTCAACTAGGTAATAGAACGCTATTACTCAGTTTAACTCGGTAATAAAACGCTATTACTCAGTTTAACTAGGTAATAGAACGCTATTACTCATTCAACTAGGTAATAGAACGCTATTAGCCTATTACTCAGTTTAACTAGGTAATAGAACGCTATTACTCAGTTTAACTCGGTGATAGAACGCTATTACTCATTTCAACTGGGTAATAGAACGCTATTACTCAGTTTAATTCGGTAATAGAACGCTATTACTCATTTCAACTAGGTGATAAAACGCTATTACTCAGTTTAACTCGGTAATAAAACGCTATTACTCAGTTTAACTCGGTAATAGAACCCTATTACTCAGTTTAACTCGGTACAACAGAACGCTATTACAGTATATAGGCCTACTCCTTTCAACTATAGGTATAGTTAATAGAACGCTATTACTCAATTTAACTCAGTAATAGAACGCTATTACTCTATCAGTAATATTACGCTATTACTTCAACTAGGTAATAGAACACAATTACTCTATTACTGATTTTGACTCGGTAATAGAACGCTATTACTCATGCAGTTTAACTTCGTGAAAAACGATATTAACTGATTTCGAAATCTAACTTTGCAACATGCTTTATGTCATATTTTGACATAGTTAAGCACGTACGTACGTGGGATTTTTTGTGATCTGTTGCACAAGCAGAAATGGCGTCCAGTTCTTGTAGAAGAATCATCGTGCGTTCGTTTGGCGTGAAATATGGAAGGAAGGTAAGAACAAAGACGTTGTATATATATACGAAAATTAATAAGATGACGGTGATGACAATTTTTCTTTTTTATTGTGTATTTATAGTATTTAAGTGTCCCGCACAACATTTGCATGGAAGTCTTGTTCCGTATAACATTGTTCAACGGTTGGGATTGCCTGAACCTGAAGACTTAAAGATAGATACAAAGGACAGTGGGGTATAGTCCATGAGGAAGATCTGAAGTTGTTGGTGTACGTGCACGTGCTCTAAATTAAATAAAGACGGGTTCTTGTTTTTTCTCTAAAACTGCTTACTCAAACTCAACACAAGAAAAATTTCCAGACATCATATTTTCATTTTCTTTTGGGTCGTACCGTTCTTCGTTTAATTTTTCCTTAATATTTTCGTAATTTCCCTAAATTTTAGCTATACAATTATTAGTTTTTAATCAGTGTCATTCATAATTATTTTACTTTTTTCCTTCCTATCCAATTCATGTTTTGCCGACTACGAAGTACAATTTGCCGACCGAGATTCAATGACACGCCGCCCCTGTATATCTGCAGTACCTGGTCAGCTGTAGAGGAATCTGGAACGGTATTTCGTAAGGAAAGAAAGGTAAGGTATATGGTATGTCTGCGCTCGCCTTAAAGCACGTGCGGTAAGTATATTGCTAGTATGTTATTAGCCATTTTTTACGAATTCTTCAATTTGATTGCATGGTAGAGCTACTCACTGCATTAAAAAGTTCGCGCTGCATAACTTACAGAAATAGTAACACCCACTGACCACTGCGCAAGAATGGTCGCAATTAAATGCCATGGTTGTCTATAGTCATGTGATGCGCGAGTGTTAGTTATACATGCACACACACACCCTTAGGGACCGTTCATTATTTATACCTGGGATTGGTACCGAAGAGAAGCGAAAAACACTGTAAATTTTTTATTTACTCAACCTTAACATTGTTCAAAATAATGTTTACCCAACCCATGTGTTACTGTACTTCATAATAATTAAACACACAAGATTATGCTGACAGAAATCAAGATGCCTAAATTCTAAAAGCTCACTCAAACTCACCGAGTGTGTCAAAGCAACCACGTTCCTGCTGATCAATGATAGAGTCCTTCCTCAATCACTGATGGTCTATTTTGGTGTATTGTACACATTTTTCTTCATATTTTCCAATGCATGGTAATTTTGGTTTTATTTTATAGCTGATAGACAGCCATAAAGTTTTTTTACCCAACCCATGAGCTAGTCAAAAACGTGATTAACCAACCCATATCTCTTCGGTACCAACCCCGGGTATAAATAATGAACGGTCCCTTAGCATAGGGAATGGATCTGGGCCAACTTTTAACCTAGTGATCCAAGATCTCAGCGAAAATATAATAAAAATAATTCGAACAAAATTCAACAGAGCTTCCTATAACTTTTCCACGCTATGCTGCACGACCTCTGCCAACATCGTCCAGTCGTTCTTGTTCAGCTCGATCTTCGCCAAAGCTTTCCCAAGGCCACGCCCATATGTGAACTCTGGGCAGCCACGTGGTCGAGGATTGCGTACCCAGCATGTGAGCATCTTGCGGAGTAGCCTCTCCCACTGCATTCGCCAGACGTGTCCTGCCCATGTGAGTTGATGTCTCGATACATATGAATCCATGGCAGGGCCTTTTTTAAGGATTTTCCTGGGGGGGGGGCATTTTTTGAAAAGGGACCTTTCTGTGAGATAATATATTAGAGGGGGATAGCAATGGTTGAAGACCACGTGTGTGGCCAATATACCACGCATGAATGGGGTATATTCCCCCAGAAAATGTTTGAAATGTGAATCCCGGAAATGTCATTTCTTGCATTCGGAGCATCCATATTTACTCTAAAATTTGTGCTAACTATACTTGTATTTGAAATAAAAAAAGGAAAAAATGCACAAAAAGTTAAAAAGAATATTAACCGTAATTTATCATTACTTATTAGAGGGATAATCCCCAGAAAATTTTTGAAATTTGAAACCCGGAAATGCTATTTCCTGCATTATATATATATATATATATATATATATATATATATATATATATATATATATATATATATATATATATATATATATAAATAATAAAGTAATTGTCTAATATGAATACCTGAGATGAAAGTGCAACCACGAGAATAATATTTAATAAAGTCAACATCTAACAAAGACTTTCTATTTTGTATAGCATTGAAGTTTGCCGGGCTTCCAGACCATCATATCTTCATAGACTATGGTTATCACACTTTAGAAATTAAGCTGTCGTTGTCTATTTAAAAGCAATTTGGCATTGACACAGATGCAAAACATAGTAACAACAACGTGATAAAGTCTTTTGTGTATATCTATAACAACACTGTTACAGATAATTTGTTCCTTTACTTTACAGTGGATATTACTCCACGAACTGGAGTCCTGTTTCAAAAACGAACGAATAAACAGGTAAATAAAGGGAAACAATTTAACTGTATTCATAGATGACTTGGAGTTAGATAATAAAGTCACGAGTAAAGAATACACGGTTGGTCGAGATGAAATCTATATTATTCATAGAAAATCATGGTTGTCCATTTGTTTGGTGACAATTTGTTCTTTGTTAATATAATAATGTTCTTTATTAATTTTATTCAAAACACTAGAAAACAGTAAAAAATAAGTATAGGTAATCATGCGATGGCGAGTACAATTAGGGATTAATAGGCAAATTTCCAAACATCACGAGTACTATTAATCCATAATTGTACGAGTAACATCGCATGATCACTTGTTTATTATTAGCATGACAAAATTGGATACTTCTCAATGTTAACATCATATATTCTCTCGCCAAAGCCCAGTCCTGCCAGATTTTCAACCAAAATTTGGTGCTTTTGTCCGCATTTTCATTTAGTTCTTTTGTTAAAGCAACATTGGGTGCTTTTGTTTGTATTTTCATCTAGTTCCTCTAGGGCAATTTCATTTCACGCTTGTGTTTAAAATTCCTTTCCGCCATTTTGTTTGTTATGGGAAAATCATTAATTGTACTGCAGTACAATTAATAAAATAATTGTACTCCTCTCAACCAATCAGCATCCACTAATTTTGTCATGCTAATAATAAACAAGAAAACAAGGAAAAACCGTCACAAAAATCATAAAAGAAGGCAGTTTTTCCGTGAGATGTCTACGTTAAACCAAGGTGTAGCTGTTTTGAAATTATATATCAATGTTTCTTGGTGTAATGGACCATACTTCGTCTTATCATATATGGTATTTTTTATTAATTTTATTTTCATTAATTTTATTTCTGAAATTTTGTAAATATCCTTTAAAAAAGCGTGCTGAAATAAAGTCTTTTTCTTGCTGGAATTATAGCAGTTCTGCTGGTTATTTCACTTGTTATCCTAGCTTACTTTATCTACCAAATTGATGTCGACTGAAATCATCAAAAGGCAAACAGAGAGAACAAGAGGAAGGAAGAACAGAAATAATTCAAAAGATATTTATGAAAATCCTGACTAAATCAAAGGTGATGCGAATTATGAAGACGAGAAAAATGAACAGTCGACGTATAAAGGTCTCGAAAAGACTGTGAAGGACGAAAATGATGATCACTTATATAGCCATCCAAATAAAGTACACAAGGACTACGTGGAATCAGAAGGAAACTGAAATTTAAGGGGGCTCATGTACGAAGTCCATTTGGTTTATGTATAGTTAGTGAGTAAGCTTAAACTTTAAACCTTAAGCCCTGCATGGGCAAACTAGGAAACAATGTTGCGCAAACATTTGTGATTCGTGATCGATGTTTCCTCAAATGTTTCCCTGATTGCCCACCCATGGAAACATTGTTGCGGAAACAAAATTTGCTTCCCCGGAAGCAAAAATGTTTCCTACCAAATTCAGAAACATTTAATGTTTCCCAAGTGTTATTTTTGTTGCGGAAACATTGTTATACCCTGTTTGCGCATATGTTTCCAGCGCGAAAATTTTTTTTCCAGATAGCAGCATGCGCAAAAACACGCTTGTGTTTGGCTTTGCCTACAGTTTTATGAATGACATCACGAAATGAGGGAACTGATAAAGATTTGTAAACAACAGCTCATTCAGGGCGGTAATTACGGCTTTAACTTGAAAATAAATAATATATAGTGGAACGAAAATCTTAGGCATGTGCATATGGAGGCAAGCTACCTTTCTAACCGATTTACTCGGCGACGACAAGATCTATGACTAGAATATTATGTAAACTCGTTTAAAGTTTTCCGGTGACTATTTACATGACATAACCGAGCAACTCATCTTGCCAATAACCCGTCAGAGAGAGAACAGACATGAAGGACAGTAATACCGGCAGCCGGTCACGGTTTTGAAAAAAACTATAAATGACTGGCAGTCACTATAACATTGGAGTGATATATAATTAGTTCTTTTAGAAGGACTTCAGCGAGCTCGACAGCAGCTCAGAAGGTTCGGCGTGCAACGTACTGCTACGTTCTAGTCAGTCCTGTGTTCGATCCGGCTTCGGGACGTAATTTTCTCGACTTTGCGTTAGCATTTTCACTTAAAACTTGTTTTTAACTTTTTTAAATTTTCAATGGTTTTAGACCCAACTCTCAACAGTGAAAATATGCTATTCTGACTATAATTTTTTATCGGACTCGTACTTGCTTATTTTTTATCCATTTGGCATGAAGAATATAATATCATACGACAGCTAAAAGTCTAATTCAGATACAATAGCGCGTTGAAGTTCGATTACCTTTTTTATACACCCTGTGTATTATTACACTGACCTGAAAGGTCAAGTGTCTTAAATCCCTAAATATCTGGGGTTTTTTCTGTTTTTTTCGTCGTCGAGAAATCTAGTTTGCGTTAGCGCATCGCAGGCTCAGTTTCCAGTGTTCCAGTCGTTCCAGTTTACTATACAGATCAGTTTTCAAGATGGCGGCCATCAATGAGTGACTTTTTCAGTCTCAAATAATTTATTCATTTGCCAACGAATTTTAGCGCGTTTTTCTGTGGATTTTGGATTTATCCTACTCTGCACTTCCTTGGAAGTTGACTGGTAGGGTTTTTTCGTGCAACGTTTCTGGAAATGCAATATCTGGATCGCTGAGTTTTTCGAATTTTATACGTTTAACATACGGACTGACGGAATGTAAACAATGTTGTCTGCGTTAGCGCATCGCATGCTCAGTGACCATGTGCATTTATGGATAACGTTTGTATTTGTTTCATTGGACATTACGAAAACATCTCCTGAGGATCACGCCACACTTTTAGCCTTTCACGCTTTGCGTTTGTGGTTCAAAGATAGATAGAGATGGATAGATAGTTTAATAGATTTTACATGGCAGCCGAATTGGCTGAATTGCGTAAAATTAACAAAACTTACATTTTACAAACAAATTAAAAACAACACATGCACAATTACATATTACTGAATGTAATGGTATTACATATTATATGATATCAGCGCAAATTCAGATATGTCCCTCACCATCACCACCGCTAAAAAAGAGATCAACCAAGGTTGTAAGCACAACTAAAAAAACCCCAAACATGCATAAAAGCAAAAGGTTAACGCGAGGCAGCGGCAATGGTGGTGGAAGTCATATCAGAACCCCACCAATATCCTTTTAAACTACTCCTTTGACATAGAAACGACAAAAGTGATCCTAAAACGATTTGTTCGTGTGGTCGGACAGTTAATTTAGTCAAAAGGTCGCTGACTTCTCAGATTATATGCTGAGATATTCATGGGTGGCAGAAGATAGTGAGGTTTGTGCTCGGTATCAGATATAACTGACTGAAATAGTTTCTTACACAGTTTCAGCCGCCTGTCTCTCAAGGAACTGATATTTAATTTCCTAAGATTGTCCGCATATGATAACCCCGGAGATATTATGGACAGCGCACGCTTTTGAATGCGCTCAAGGTCATCACATAAGTATACATGGAGAGGATGATGGAAAACAGGAGCACAATACTCGAGAACCGGTCTAATAACAGTGCAGTAGAAATGGACAATATTACAAGCAGGGACGTTAGCACGCTTGAGCAAGATCAAGAAATACAAATGTTTATTCGCTTTCTTGATTACTACGTTGACATGGTCAACCCACTGCCTACCCACCTCGGCACTGCCCACCAGTTCGAGTTCTTTGGAGTTGATTGTGATTGCGTCAAACTGTTGTTTTTGTCTCTTAAAGTCGATGACCATTTCTTTACACTTGTCAGCATTCAGTTGGAGCTTGTTGACATTAGACCACCTCTCGATATCAGTAACGGCGTTCTCGATAAAGGTTTCGCCATTCCGTGGAACAACTTTAGCTAACGTGGTGTCATCTACATACTTCCAAGCATGCGCTTCAGATGAATTGAGGTCATTGATCATTAACAGCAACAACCAGGGTCCTAGCTTAGTTTCCTGAGGGACACCAGATGGAACAGCACCCCATTCAGAGAAACAATCATTTGACAACTTTACACGTTGGAATCTGTTTGATAGGAAATCACACACCCAGCGAGCTACACCACATGGTATTCGAAGGGAAAGGACTTTGTCAACTAGAATGCGGTGGTCGATCAGGTCAAAAGCTTTTTTATAGTCTAGCAATATGATCCTCACTGCTGCACCTGTTCCAAGTCCACGCATGCATCATGGATATAAGAGCCTGAGTAGTAGACGACTTCAGGATGGCACCAAATTGATTGGGATCGACGATTTCAAGAACAGCAGGTCCAACATAATTCTTAACGATAAAGTCCTCAGCTAACTTCGATAGAGCTGATGTTAGCGAAATGGGTCTTATATGCTTGGCAATTATTGAAACCGGTTTCGTCTTAGACAGTGGTGTGATATTGGCATATATTTCCATGATGCTGGAAGCGCTTGTCCCTCAAATGAATTGTTTAAGATGTTACAAACAGGGTTTGCAAGAAATTCTGCATATTCTTTAAGTAGCCAGTTAGGCACCTCGTCCGGACCACACGCTTTGCGGGGGTTTAACGTTAGTAATATCATAGTTGCCTCGAAATACTTTGTCTCGCGAGGTACGATTAATCACTAATTTACCTCATTACTCATGCATACGCTTTTGTCTTCTAAATTTCCCTCATCAAGCATGCAAGGGAAAATTAGAAGACAAAGAAATCCTTTGTTTTCAACTAAATTTCCCTCATCAAGCATGCAGGGGAAAATTAGAAGACAAAGAAATCCTTTGTTTTCAACTAAATTAACCCGGGAAATTTAGTTGAAAACAAAGGATTTCTTTGTCTTCTAATTTTCCCCTGCATGCTTGATGAGGGAAATTTAGAAGATAAAAGCGTACCTCATTACCTCTGATTGGAGAGCTGTACCTCATCGAAAATCATCGGCACAACTATGGACAGTATCTGACGACACCGTCCCGTACACATTCGAACAATTTTTTTATTCCCTAATCTTGAACATTACAATTGTGGAAGAAAATTCCGTTTATGCGCATGCCTAAAACGAATGAACACGGAGATGTGTTTCTGCGCGTGCGTATATATGAAAAGTGTTCGTACCACAATCATAAGACAATCAAACAGCATTCGAAACAGGCAACACACCACGCGCGATTCCCTCGGCAACTATGATATTACAAAGTAATAGCATGGCATTACGGTCGATTAGTGATGAAATGTCCCTCAAGCCTCGAGAGGTTTAGTAACTAAACCTGTCTCGGCTTTCGGGTACATTTAATCACTAATCGCCCTGATTGAATGCCATGCTATAACTTATAATAATCTCGAATACACAGAATAAACATCAAGCTTTAATACCTCGGATTTTTCGTCGAATGGAGGAAGACAGGCAAGTGGTTGGTATGCTTGCATGGGTTCGAGGAGAGAGGTGTTAATAAGGTCTGCAACATACTTATTTGATTTTCCATCAATGCCGCCAATGTGAAGCTGCGAGCGAATATCAACATTCAACGTTGCTGGAACCATCCCCGAGATCTTTTTAACCTCGTTCCACCACATGCTCGATCGGTTTGGTATTTTTCAGGTTCGCAACTCTAGTGTTGTATAATATACCGGCTGCGAAGCTTCTCGTTCGCTCACGACTAACCACGTTACGAAGCTCATGTGTCGATACCTGTCTTGAGCACCATCAGCGTAGGCTTTCTGGCGTTGTTTGATCAAACTTTTGAATTCAGGGGTGACCCAGGGAGCGTCGTTGACGTGTAGTTTAACAGACTTTAGTGGCATGAGAATATCGACACCATTTTTAACCAGATCTTCAAAGAGTAGTAACTTGTTTTCACATCCAGTGATGGAATCAACAACCGACCAGTCAATCGAGCTAAGATACCTCCCGAGTTCAAGTCTTCGGCTCAATCGAGTATCCCTCCGAGTCACGAAACGACGGCTGCAACTCCGTACGGTTCTTCACGATTTGTGTTCTTGTCTATTGCACCCAATAGCACGTATGTCGTCATTTTCAGGTCAGTGTGAACGCCTGAGCAGGCGTCTTGTTTATTTTTTAAAGCCGTAATTGCCGCCCTGAATGCTCGAGCTGTTGTTCACAAATCCTTATTGAGTTCTCTCATTTCTTCAACTTTATTCAACTTTATTTAGGAACGGTACTATTTCACAGTATATTAAAATATATTATTTACAAAAACAACCAGAAAAAAGTGATCTTCCATTAGACCGTGTGCTAACTACTATAAATATAAATTTTTTTATAACTTAACATTATATCAATCTACATTGTTTTATACCCCACTTTTAAAAGTTACTACACTTCCTATAGCGACTTCAGGTCATTTGGGAGAGCATTCCAAGTCTCCGCACCTCTGTAGCAGTGATTTTTTCATAGCATTAGTATTTGGCATTGGTAATGTATAATTAAATTCTCTATGCCTAGTGTTATGATTATGGACTTCTTGTGTATTGATGAAAATATCCTGCAGGTAGTTTGGAACCATTTTATGTTTAATTTTATACATTAATGTAGCAAGTTGTTGTTCCCTTCTTGTTTGCAGATCTGAAAATCTTGCCTTGATTAGAATATCTTTTGATCGCGTTTCATATCCTTCACGGGTAATACGCTCTATTTTGGAGACGCTGAAGTTTATCTGATAAAACCTTTCCTAGGCAACCCCAAACTTGCGAGCAATAATCAAAGTGTGGTTGGATTACTGATTTCATAAACAGTTATTAAAGTATTATAATCAACAATATCCCGCAGTCTTCTAATAATGCTGAGTCCTGAGTTGTAATTTTTTCAACTTGGGCCGACTAGCATAAAGTATCATCAATCATTAGGCCAAGCGACTTGGTCGCATTAACCTTTTTAATCTCTGTGCCTCTCACACAAATTGAGGGTTCTTGGACTATTTGGCCAAGTCGCATATTGCTACCTATAACCATGAATTCTGTTTTTTTATTGTTCAAAGTTAATTTATTAGCTGACATCCAAGTCGAAACATTTATTAAATCTGCATGTGTTAAGATTCTCTAAGATCACATTGATATCGCTATTAGATGTTGCAATTTGGTTGTCATCGGCAAACATATCTGGTCTAGTGTGTCTTAAACATTTTGGAAAATCATTAATATATAGATCAAAAACAATAATGGGCCTAATCCCGAGCCTTGTGGTATTCCGGTCTTCACAGTTAATTAGGGGTCTGACAGGTGACCATTTACTTGACAATATTGGATTCTGTCTGATAGATATGATCGCAACCAACAGAGTGCCATGTCTTTTATGCCATAAATTTTTATTTTTTTTAGATCGAAGAATGTCGTAGTCAACAGTATCAAAGGCCTTTTTTTTAAATCTAAAAATACAACTCCATTTAATTGTCCTACGTCCATGTTTTGGTACCATCTATTAGTGATATCTAATAGAGCTGTGGTTGTTGAATGACATGGTCTAAAGCCGTGTTGGGAATTTGGTAGTAGCTAGGTTTGAAGCTATAAGATACTAGTCATATAATTGGTTATGTCAGTATCAGTTTCTCCATAATCTTCGCTATAATTGAAATAACAGATATCGGTCTGTAATTTTCCATATCGTGCTTAGCACATGTTTTGTGTATTGGAGCTACTCTGGCGACTCTCCAATCAGATGGGAATATACCAGTTGCGATTGATTGATTAAAAATTGATACAATTGATGGAGTAATTATTGCTGGAGCTGCGATTTTCAAAATTTTTGCTGAAATTCCATCGATGCCGGATGCTTTAGAGGCAACCAATCCCGGAAGTAAACTTAATATTTCTGGTTCTACATTAATTTCTCTAAAACAGGTTAACTGATTTACTGAATTTTGAACGTCGCTAAGATAACTAACATTTGATTGAGGTATATCATTCGAAAGCTTATCTCCCATTTCTACAAAATGCTTATTAAATGCATTTGAGATGTTTATCGGATCAGTAATTTCAACAGAATCAATTCTTACTTCTAGAACTGTATTCTCTTTTTTAGACTTATTAATTAACTCATTAATCGTTTTCCAGGTTTTTTTAAGATCACCTTGGTTATTATGTAATTTATTTTGAAAATGACTGCGGATTGTATCTTTCACTAGTTTATTATAACGATTTCTTGCATGGCGGTAGTCGGACCAGTCAGTCATAGACATAGACTTTGATAACACTGCTTTGTATTTTAAATATGTCTTCTCCCGCTTTTTTTAAAATAAGATCATTCGTTAACCACGGTATTTGTTTACTGGATACTTTACGTCTTCTAAGCGGGGCATGTATATTTACAATCTCTAGGAATTTGTTTTTCCAAATCGTCCAAGATTTTTTAGGATCAGAATGGATGAGATTCAAATTTGATAACGATGTTAGATTACACATAAAGTCTTGTTCATTGAAGTGTTTAAAATCCCGGTATTCAATAAACCGTGGAGACTGTTTAAATGTTTTAAATTTACGAATGCCGTAGATCAAATAGTGATCACCGATAGTGATAGCTGCATAGATATCGAGCTGACCGGTCACGGATTTTAGAGCTCCCTTGATTATATTCCTAATAGCTTAATTATGACTACAAAGAAACTAAGGGAAGAAAACGAACTCCTACGATCGGAGATCGAAGGGTTAAAGAACCAACTATACAAGATAAGCGAAGATTTGAAAACACAACAAGCTACTGCAGCATCAAAGTCAAGCAGAACCGCTGAAGCGAAACAGGCAAAAGATACGATCGAACGAACCAACTCTGAGGAACGAGCAGAGGCTGTTGTCTTTATGAGCAAACAATATGATGATCTAGAAGTATTCCGTAAGCAAGCGACGCAAGATATTCAACAGATCACAAAAAAATTGGATTCAATCAGTAAAAAATGTGATGAGATTACTGAGGCCATCGAACTGGCCGAACAATATAGCTACCAATACAACATTAAGATCATGGGCGTACCGCAATTAAACGAGAAAGAATCGGCTGAAACTACAGCAAGTCTTTGTATGAAGCTGTTTACGGCTATGGGCGTAACTGATGTATCTTTACAGGACATAGACATTGCACATCGTGTCCAATCTAGAAGACCTTCACAAAATTCCAACCCAATTATATGTAAATTTGTCCGTCGACTAGCTAAAGAAAAGATTATGGCGGCTCGGAAACATGCATTAGATAATATCACGCCCGATCAGCTTGGTATTGAATTGGCCTATCCTTCAACTATACACGAATTAGCATGTTTGACCATTTGACACCACGCCTACAAAACCTTCTGTATGAAACAAAAAGGTATAAAACGAGCAAGGGTTATAAGTTCTGCTGGGCAAGAAACAGTCAAGTTTATTTAAGAAAATCAGAGAACACTGGAGTAATCCGTATAAAAACACTGCAAGACCTGACCAACCTAATTGAACAGGAGTCATTAAGATAATCTGTTAACAATACCTCAGCTAAGTACTTAATTTTTCTTTGAATTTTAAATGATGAGTAGAACAGAAATCCATATTAATAGAACTATCCTGGCTCAATTACCTTTCTATGGTGTATATAGTGATGATGTTTTTATCGATCACTGTACCAGTGAAAGGAATTTGAACAAACTTACTAGCCTGTATGATCTAGACGTATTCAATCTTAATATTGAAACAGACGCTGATATTAATCCGGATCGAAATGCAATGAGCAACCATATTAAATGTAAATATTATTCTCCAGAGAGCTTTACTAAAATTGAAAAGGATCCATACGGCTCATGTGATAAGCGTTTTTCTTTTTTTCACAATAATGTATGTAGTCTGCGCAGAAACTTAGAACATTTGCAAACTCAAATATTGGATGAGCTTGATTTTTCATTTAGTGTAATAGGCATTACAGAAACGCGTATCAAACAAAACAATTTTAATGATTTCAACTATAATATTACTGGATATTCATTTGAATTTGTACCAACGCCACTTGCTGCTGGAGGTGTTGGAATGTATATTAATAATCGATTTAATTATGTGGTCATTGAAAAGGCCATTAACATAGCTTACCAAGCACTTTGGATTGAAATTGATATTCCAAAGAAAAGAAATATCATATGCTCAGTTATATACAGGCAGCATAATTTGCCTGAGGCGTTTCAAACATACTTTGAACAAAAATTAGAATATTATACCCTCAAAAGGCAAGCATGTGGTTATCATGGGTGACTTCAACATAGATCTTTTAAAAATTGACCAATGCAACTATGCACATAATTTTTCGACCATATCAGAAGTCATTGAATTTCCAGCCTGTAATTAAAATGTTTGATAATGATACCAAACAATATACACCACTTGAATGCAAAGAATATGTTAAGTACCTTGGAATTATTATTGACTGTAACTTGAACTGGAAGCATCACATAAATTATATTACATTAAAGATTAGCAAAACTGTTGGAATCATTTCTAAATTGAGATATTACATCCCAAATCATACCCTGTTAGATATTTATAGGTCATTGATTTCACCATATTTAACATATGGTGTAGTTGCTTGGGGAAATGCTGCTAAAGTTCATATTCAAAAACTTCTTGTTTTACAAAAGCGTGCATTACGAC